GTCACAAGAGACCGGAACACCAATGTAAAGGATCAAATTTGAAAGCCACAAATACAAAGCATGCTTCGTATCCTCTGAATGACTTCCGTAGCCGTAGCCCTCTCCTCATTAGAGTCTCGCGCATTTCTACGAAGCCCTTTCCTCCAAAGCCATACTGATTGATGAGGAAAGTCTTTACTCGTGGTTCAAAAAGCAGCCACTCGCCTCACTTAAGAAAATACATGAAAATACATATCCAGTGTCAGCTGAAAAAAGCACCTTGTACCAGAAGCTGAAAGAAAACACCGAGGAACATATACTGTAGCATATGATAATTACTCAAACGATCTCACTTTATGAACACAGTCACAATGCTTCGAGTAGGAGGAACGCCTCCAGAAAGCGGCCTACCATGGCCTACCCCACCTTCAACAAAAGGACAAGTCGTCTATTCATGTTCCGGTCTTCTTTCACTTCGTCACTCTGAGTCACTTGTTGCCCTGAGTCGCTGAGCTGTGCACCCTGTTTCGATGTTTGCACCATGATCAGTGCAACAAACTAGCCTACCGAAGCCGGGGACTAGTATTGAGTAAGAATCCTGTCTATATTATATACATTTATATACTGTAGTCCTTATGAAGTCGGAAGCAACATGATCCCCTTCTTTGGGCGAAGTTAGGTTCTCTGTGAGGTTCAACCTATTTAACACTTGCAGCCGTTTCAGTGACCTAGCAAGAATATCCCACCAAGTCTCGGGCTCACAGTCACAGGTGATTCCACACACCATTAGTGGTACACCAGGCGGTCGTCGCCTCATTTCCCAGAAGAACTTGCATTCATCTGACAATCCATGATCCCACGCAGATGCATGTAGCCTTGACATCACCCCAAGGACAGCAACCAAACACAAGTTCACGCAAAATGTGCAAACAAGAGCAAGCCTGGTAATGTCCAGCATGACGGGGATGAGCAAGCAAATGCCAAGCAGGGTTGTCCTCAGCTGGACAACAGTAGAAGCCAGCAACTCACGGGGATGAGCATACCCCTGGCATCTGTAGCCTAATACAAAGACACTCTGGACATGTCTGCACATTCTTCCCCACAAGTACGTGGGGGTATGCTCAGCATCCTCCAAAGATCGGGTGCCACGAATTCATACAATTCCGACAATTCCATACAAGTCAGTCTAACAGTTCCAAGAAGAACAGTTCCGCTCAGAAGCTAGACTGACTTCTGATTCAGTCTAACAGTTCTTCATTCAAGCTTCATTGCTAGAAGCGTTGCCCAGAAGAACTTGGTGAAGCCCCCCCAAGCATGGATCCACAGGACCTGCTCGTCCTTGGACGTCCACGGTACCAAGGCTCATCACCTGTACGTACCGGTACCGGCAACCGGTGGTTTCAAGGATTCAAAGCTGCTGGTGGCCTGCAAAAGCCAACTTCCCTTGGAACACAGCCAAGTGGACCTGCAGCTGTACGCGCAAAGCCACAAAGACTAACAACATACAAAGGGTACAAAGAAAGCCAAGGGGACTTCAGTTCCAGCCGATCATATCACAGCAGTCTATCGTTACCCTGCCGGGAACAAAGTCGCCCGTCCGAGATGAGTCTATCATGCAACCATCAGCTTATCGCAGAGTGGAACCAAAGACTTGAATTGGAGTTGGCCCCAATCAAATCATAATTCTAATTTTGCAAACGGTGTCAACATCCCGTCGGCGTGCCCGAGAAGTGTCGCAAATCTTCAATTCAGAATCCGTCTACGCTATTGCAAGTTGTATCAGTACGTCTCTCAATGCCATGAAATGATTATATGTACATATTACATATATATATAATATTATATATATAATATATATATACATACATTTTCTCATTTTTGTATAGAAGACCAAATCGATCCAAATCGATCCAGCAATTTGTGTCATTGTCTGGTTGCATATGCAATGACTGTTGCCGTCCACTCTATTTATTCTGACAGGGAATGCCAATGCAAGCTCACAAGCATAACATATGTAACGCAGCCAGCCATTACAATGTGGAGTAAAACCATGCAACTTCAGAGAAGATCAACCCAACCCCAACCCCAGAACACCACGGGGCAACGCTCAGCACACGGAAACTCCACTGTATCCGAACCTGTGACGTTCGCACTGGGCCGTTCAGTCGCTTCTAGTACCTTCTACTGCCCCTGTTCACATGAAAATACATCAGACATCATCAAACCTTCCACCAGCGACCTCGGAGGCTGTGCGGGTCAAACAAATTCGCACACACTCACACACTTCCGGGGATGCACAAACCTTAAACAAAATCCAAACCAAACCTTGTTCGGGAGTTGACCATCTTGAGGGTGAAAGACCACCTCGCTGGTCTGACCGCTACTCTGAATTGCCAGTTCACGCCCGGTTCAGGGCCGAGCGCAGGCAATGTAGCATTTACACTTTGGTCTGCCGTCCTCCAGCCACATGTGACACATTGTGGCCCAAACTGCCTTTTGGTGGCAACAATTGCTTTGACATGTCTGAGGCAGCTGGCTGCACACGTGGCAGCAGGCTGTGCTCAGCACCTGTCGAGTCGGTGTGGTTCGGTTTTGTCACGGTTTCGAAGCGACTGGGTCCCCGACTGGAGATGTTCCATTTTAGGCTTCGGCTGCGGTGAGTTTGCCAATGGCAATCTGCATGCGGCACACAACAGGAGTGAGCTAGGTTTTGTTTCGGGTCTGCCTACTATGGATGGTAGCAGCCACAAAAGAGCAGCGGCTTGCATGCGTGGCCTGGCTCGAAGCAACTGAAGTTGTTTGCTGGAGTCAGTAAAACCATGCAACAAAGGAATGAGTATGCAAGCTATTGTAGTACATCAAGAAGCGAATCTCTGCACTAGTAACAAGAAGCTACTAGTAACAAGTGCATCGCTTCTAGTAACAAGTGCCTTACTAGTAGTAACAAGAAGCTACTAGGAACAAGTGCCTTACTAGTAGTAACAATGTTTGCTATTAGTAAGTGAAAGCTTTGTGAACAAGAATCTCTGCACTCAGGTCCGTCCTCGGCCACCACGTAGTGGACGCGGGGTTGCGTGATGTTAGCTACCAAATGCTCAAACAACCAACCAGTGTTCAAATGGTAAGCTTCAATGACCGAGCAGCACCGTGCAACGGACCGTGCAACGGACCGTGCAAAGCAGGTGAGGAAAGCGCGTCGCCGTCGCGCCATCTTTTACCTCACGCCTCGAGGTTCCCTTGTGCAAGGCGGGCACATTTGTGGACGAGGCCGTACACCTTGGAGGCGCTTCAGCCTCTGGCCCTTGTGACATCTACCTTGAACAGGATGGACAGCGCACTGTCAGGATCAGCTGAATGCAGCTGAGGAGGGCTTCTTGAGCCGCGTCTTACAAAAGCAGTCACATGCACGACTGCGGGTCTTTCCCAACCTTCAAAGTTCACTCCTCGAATCTCCTCAACCTCACTAGGACGGCCAGCTATCAGGCTTGTATCAAGAGCCTCACTTTGGATGACTTTGAATCTGAAGGTTGTCAGTCTCCCGATGCACGAGACCAGGGCTCCTTTGGAAGTGCCTGGTGTTTGCCTTGTTGACAATTGACAGCATATCAGCACTCAGCCTTTCATATTCTACTATGTTACTACAAAAGGATACAAAAGGACATATGCACTCTCCAACAGAAACCAAGACTCTAACCAATGTGCCAAGATCTGCCAAGGTTACTCGGTTACTCATGATCTGATGGATAGCTTCTAAAAGTAAAGGAAGTAACAGTTAAGTGCCATGACAAAGGTTGATTCGGCTCCGTGCCCAGCTTGTCATTGATTGGCGCTTTGGCTCCCAGCTCCTCCTCAAAATCTGCAAGACTAGCCTGCAGCCCTCAGTCAAGTACTTTTCAAGACGGGGGCTCGAGCCAGCAGCACGGAGGATTGCGACACGCACTGTGCCAGCTGCAGCTTGTTCAGCTTGCAGTATGGGCGTCCTACTCTGCTTGGCAAACGTGCCATGTTCAGCCATGTTCCAATTCCGGCTTCTGTGCTGAATTCCAGACTCTGACTCTGCATCTGTTGGTTCTGTGGACGCCCAGAGTGAAGTGGACAGATTGGCTTTGAAAGTGCCTTCAGTCTTGCCAGCTTGCGCAAGAAATCGGCTGCCTACTCTACTCGAAAAAGAATTGGGCAGGCCTTCATTGTGGCTTCCCCATGTGGTGTACAACTCAACTGGAATACAGTGCACGTCAATGTGCACAGGAATCCCTGCTACAGCTGTACAGGATGCAAGTGCCTTGAAATTGCAAAGAAGCACTGGACTACACGTAGCAATATGGAGCAACAAACAAAATAGACCAGCAAGAATGAAACACTACATCATTGGGTCATATTGGGTCTATGAGCTCCAAAAAAACAACTATATACAATGGGCAATGGGGCCACGCAGCGTGGCAGCATTGGAGGAAAATGGTTTGGGCACTTGCTACAGTTACAGAAACCCGACAGCTGTTCTCCCAACTACCTGTACGCATGCAAAGGCGTCATGCCTTTCCACAGCATCGTGTGAAGCAAAGAAGCCGTAACCATCCATGCATCTGTTCTTGTGCGAATCATGTGCATCGAGTAAATATGTATAAGAACAGTGACATCGTTTTTTTTGTTTTTAAACTAATTTATGGTTTGGAAGAACTTATTTGGTTCTGTAGTAAGGATGCAGAACACTTGCTTTGAAGAATGTGCGCCCTGTGTTGGCATGGCAGCATGTGCAGCTTTGGCTTCTTCAGGTTGGCAAATCAAGTGCATGGCCAGTTCCCCACTGCAAGTTTGCATGCCTCTAGCTACCCAGGCGCAGTTGCTGCCAAGGTAAACTAGAAGGTCACTGCTCAAAGACACAAAATCATGGCGTCCCAGCAAACACCGGAAGAGTCAAGTACAATATTGGGCGCTCCGGCTCTGACATTGTCATTTCATCTCCCGAGTTCTGCAATTTTTGTGAAAAAAAAACTGTTGACTTTCTGTTGAAGGTAATATATTCACCAAAAAAAAACTCCCGGGGACTGCCGCGGTCCACGGCTGCATCTCGATCATTAGCTCTTGTCGGTCTCATTGCTCCGTTTGGAGAGGCTGTCCTCGTAGAGATTCGGAGAAGAAGCGCAGAACACAAAGCGTAAACACACGAATGCGAGGCAGTATCAAAGGATATCAAAGGCGCTGGTGAGATGATGCTGCTACAAAGCGGATTGGGCAAAAGCTCCTTGATCCCCTCTCTGAAGGAGATTGAATCAATATGAAGTGACACCGATGCTCATGGATCGGGGAGGCTCAAGAGGCCTGCTAGTGCGTTTCAACCTTGTAATTATGTTCAACAGTTTTTGTGCCGGCTGTTGTCAAGTTGTGTTGCATGATTCTAAAGGTACAAGGAGACCGAGAAGCTGATCTTTTGATCACTGTCTCACGAAGCACCCGGTTCTCATTTGACCATTTGACCTTAACCGTTGGATGCTAAGGGAAAGCAAGCAAAACAGTCCCAAGCCAAAGAACTCCCAAGTTTCAATCCTCTATTTTCCAGGGTATTCATGGTTGCTTTTCTAGCTTTTTTCCCCACACACTCTCTCTCTCTCTCTCTCTCTCCTCTCTCTGGAACACCTCATTCAACTGAAATCCGACTGGATGCAACTGGATCCGAGCTCCTCAGTAGACATGGTCGACTCTGGGCAGGCAACATATTTCAGGTCCAGGTACAAATCCTGCCAGCAGCCGACTCGTCAACGACGAGCAAAGTCTGGATTCATGGCTTTGCAGCACAAATATGCAGGGGACTTGCCTCTTGATCTGCTGCCACCAAGTCGTTGCACAGCCCTTCTGCAAGTTCAGCCAAGCCTCCATCTTTGTACGGTTTGGCTTCGAAGATGCTCCAGGCAAAATTGTATACTATGCTTGAGAAACTTTCCCAACTTATATAGAAGTCCTGGATTAGCCGGCTGTATTGCTGACTTTGCTTCTTCCCGGAGTGCAGTGTTTTCGCCCTCGAAGGACCGAATTGCGAAGGACCGAATTGTACGTCAATGGTCGCGTGGGTGCTGTGTTGGAGTGCCGCGACTAGAATGACGGGTTGTGCCACGAATCGAAACGGTTGTCCTGTTCTGAAATCAATTGACGTTTTGTGACGCACAAAAACTCAGATGTCGGCGCACAAAACACATCCTTTGGGCAACCCCTTCTGTGGCTTTTCCGCTTATGTGCATGCAAGTCTCTGCAAGCATCTGCAAATGGCTCTGAAAAATATAGTTTCCCAAACATAAGTGAAACAAATGTTCGAACACTTTTCGGCCTTGAAACTCTAAACCTGGGGGAGGATCCGTAGTTTCCGCCGGGCCATGCCTGGTGTGGTAAGCGTGCAATAGGAAAGCTGCAGTCAAAAATATGTACAAAAAACGTTGAATAATGTTGTATGACCGATTGTTTGTACACAATTAATTACAACTTATAGCTCGTCCAAAATGCTTTTCCCTATCCTATTGTAGTTCTTCGTCCTTGTCCCCTCGGACATCTCTGAGCTCGAGGCCCACAAAGTTCTCTTGCCCACATGGGCGTCAATCTAGGGGGGGTGCTTCCACAAGAGAAAGGGCACCAAATGGGCCAAGCTGGTCAACGAAAGCATCCAAGATCGCAACCCGGAGATTCCGTTCGGCTCAATCCCCGGGGGAAGGGGCATCGCAGCTGGGAGCATGAACCTCAGAAAGAGTCAACTCAGTCTTGTGAAAGCAAAAGCATATTGACAAGCCCTGCCTAAGCAAGGCTAAAGAGAAAGATTGTTCATGAATCCATCATGAATCCTCTCAGAACTAACCATCACTGGCAGCTGAGCCAGCAACATGCCAGCTTCGTCAGCTGCGGACGCCTGGCAATTCGCATCTTTTTCTTGGCAAACACACACACACACATACACACTCACACACTCTTCTTTTTTCTGTACGAACAAAAACGCAGTATCTTCCTGTAAAGGGGACAGGGAGAGGTGGCAAACGGTGGCAGTGGCCTTTCGGCTGGTTGCAATCAGGTGTTGGCTAGGGTTTAGTGTTGAATCCTGCCAAGCTGAGTAGTTATATAATTGGCCTTGGACCCTTTGCCGTTGGGTATCAAGCAAAGAAGTCAAGCCGAGAAGCAGCAAGGATGTCTGGGCCCAGCAATGGTGTACCAAGATCTAGACCTCATCAACGATCAAAGGCGATTTAAGACACACTGACAGCGACTGAGGCTCCAGCCCGGAAACAGACCAGGAGGCGACAATGGACCGGCATAGCAACTTCGAGGGTGAGGCTGATGAGCCTCGAATGACTGCAAAACACCGACCCATGACATCTTTCAGCGACCCGTGCTGAAACAAAAAAGGGCGAGCGTGCCTCATAGCCCATGACATCGCCCATGGCTGCCATGCCTGTGAAAACTCCAAACTCATCATCATACCAAACCAATCTGGCACCGCCATCAATGCCTCCTGTTGCGCCCAGCTGAGGCCTGGCACAACAGAAGCTTGAAAGAAACCAGTTTCAGTATATAACTGGGACAACTCACGACTCGGAACGCGAGCAACTCACGTCTGGGCACGTACTCCGGACGTCCATGGAAAATGCCTCCATCGAGTGGCAGGTGTCGTCCACTCGGCCCAGCTTCCACTTCCAAGTTACGCTTGTTCAACAAAGAAACGCAAAAGAGATCAACAGCGTATTCTTAGAAATCAATTAAACAATGGCCGGCCTTTTTTCGGGTACCAGACACTTGGCTTGACCGGCTTTTGCTCAAGTACACGTACCTGTCATTTCAGCTTTCAAACAATCTTATGTCAGAGTGAATCATGTATTGCAGGCACAAGAACAGGCGGTCGGCACGTCTGTCCACACTCGTTCTGACGGGTGGCATGGACAAGATTGTGTCTCTCAGCCAATGAGTGTGCATACCTGGAAAGCGGCTCAACCATGCTAATGACATCTCTTTTGCACAAACATTTGTGCTCAACTTTAACGACAGGCAAACGCTGCGCACTTGCGCTGATGGGCATCAAGTGCTGCGGACAAGCAAACCTGTTCAAACATGATGCGGTGGTCGAGATGCTGTTTGTTCTTTCAAAACTTGAAGTGAATCCAACCTCCTTCTCGGAGTCTTTCAAGAACTTGTCTATCTCCCTTTGCACTATTGCCAACTCCTGTCAAAGAGACTGAAAGAAAGGCAGAAGGGAAAGCCCAAAGGTCTAAAAACTCTAGGAACAACATGCGAAGCGATGCGAAGCGCCTCCGCAGTGTCCCTACTAGAAGCTACTACTGCATCTACTGCAAATTGCGGTGAGCTTCTGCTTACCAACTTGTTACCTTACCCCCTCCCCAGGGTCTTCACCCCTCCCCCTCACTCCTGCGGCAAGTCTCCCCCCGCACTTTTTCGGCCAAAGAGATTCTTGGACTTCTGCACCTCGACCCTTGCCTAGCAGGACGGACAAACAACACATCTAAACAAAAACACATGCATTGTCGCTTTGTGTTGTTCTTGTGCTTCTACGGGAGAGATCGAGAGAGCACATGCATCATGCGTCCGGTTCCGCCTTTCGGCCGCCAATTTCCGGTGATGGTCCAAGCTTTTGCAAAGCCTCCCGAGCCTCCACCGTTTTCGGAAAGCTTGATCCGAGCAGTTGTCCAATGTCTTGCATGCGCCGAACTGTGCAGCACGTTTTCTGAAACGCTTGGGCAAAGCAAACATACACATACACAAAGACCAAACGGTCATCATATGACATCAATGGCTGCAACACTTTAGCGTTTCAATGGCCTTTCCGGACGTGGTATACTTCACAAAGACTGTACCTTCGAAAGCGCATGCGCTGCAGCGAGATGTACAACATCATGTGCAAATGAATGTTGCTGCTACAAACCAGCCGAACAAGCAACCCATAAGACTTCAGGCTCATACAGATCGGCTTTGCATCATGGAAGCCAAACTGTAACTGCTACTCTCTCTCTATATATATCCTTATATATCCTGATTGTATATCTATCTATATATATATATATCACATCCACCTGTCCACCTGCCATCTTGTGGGACACTAGAAAGTGACCAGTGTTTCGTGCTTGGCCCTACAACGATCTCTTTTGACAGATGTAGCGATGCAGCCATCAAAACGATGCTCCGAGCTTGCTGACGTCAACTACACTCCGATCTTAGAGCGGGTGCTGGTCCCTTGCACCTCCGAGAAAGATTGCCTTTAAAAAGGTAAACTGGTCCTTTGAGTACTTTCTCACAAACGTTGGTCCAATAAAGGGTGGAGCGGAATCCTGTAGAGGCAAAAACTTCCTGAAATATTGCAAGCGTGGGAGGCAAGGCTCAGCCTGTCGGGAGGTGAAGCACTTGGCGAGATGGTGCATATTAATTCAGGAAGAGACGGAGGATATCATGGTCACCGCCCTTAACGCAACATCTGATTCTAGCTGCATCTCTACCTCCTGATCATCCGGCATCGTCCAACCCCATTCCGAACGTGATATTGCCATTTTGCCTTCATTCTTTCGTTATCATTTCGTTTGAAGATTCTGAGCCTTGTCAACTTCTTTCAACTTGCTTTGCAAACCGTTTTGATGAGAAAGAGTCCTCCTCATTCATACGACGCAATAGCTTCAGCACTGTTCAACAGTTTGGATTTTCTGCATCGTGTCGTGCCATGCTATTCATCAAAGGCAACACAAAACATCACCGCCGCCATCCATGCCTCGGAATGAGCCACTAGCAGGATCAACATGAAGTTCTACCTGAGAGGACTAAAAACTCCAGTGTCAAGTAGTATTTCACACAATGTATCTACCAGTCTGTCGGCCTCCGCTGCTTGAGCCCCTTGGCTTTGTAGGTATCTTTCCACATCCTCCTTCGCTTTGGTGCAACTTCATGGCATCCAGATTCACAATATAGAATTCATGCATGTTTGCTTGCGCTTTTTGTATACACGAATATATGAACGATATGCATTTCCAAAAAAAAACATGTACAACAATACCGCCGCGATTTGGAACTCCTTCCGGAAGTCCAGGGCAAGGTTTTTGATTACAAGAGTCGACACCTGCGAAGCGTACGGCGTGCCCACCGGATATGTTGCGCAATAAACATTTCATGAAGCATCATGAATCTGTAAACGGGTGCAGCTAGACCAGCTCCTTGCCTCTTCACCACTTGCTCTACGATTGGGAACTGCTTTGCCTGACAGTAAGTGGGCTTCACTGACCACTTGCTTTCTTGAGAAAGTCAGCAGGCACCTTCTAGATACACTAGTGATCACTAATGCTATTGCTTTGGCTCTTGTAGGTAAACATCCAAGCCTTTCCCATCAGGATTTAGCAACGGTGAGGCAGGGGCAGTCGCACAGCTCCTAGAGATGCATGGACCCAATGCAGCAATGCAAACACTTGACTCATCTATGTACTCTAAAAAAATGTTTGTGCGAAGTATGCGCAGGATGCCCGGAAAAACACAAGAGCAATCCCAAGACAATGTGACCACCCTTCGTTGGTGCGAAAGTCCATCCTCCGCCCAGGTTGCTTCCGGCGTTGTGATTGGCGAACATTGGAACGGCCTAACAAGTGACGTGAGTGAGATCATGGCCAGCTTTTGGAACGTCTGAGACTGGCAACATAGATCAGCCTAAGCCAGCCTAAGCCTCGCACAGGCCATCAGTTGGGGCGAGCAGCTCGCTGCTCTCAAACCCAGATCATCCTAAATGCTGAGAACACATGTGCAATCTGTTTCAGAAACGCGTCAAAAAACATGTCTGGTATCTGTCCAATCCATCTCACCTGGCCGTCTCTTTCCAATCCGCAGGTCACCATTCCGACCCTTAGAGTCGGACGACCGTGCACATGTGGTGCACACCGGTCAAGCCAAGGTATTGTGTTCACGTGTCTTCGGTGTTCCTATTAATTAAGCCTGACATTCCTCGTAGTTGCAAACCACAAACTATATTGACATTCTGGTGTTCGCAAAAAGAATGTGAACAATTTTACGAATCATTCTGTCAAAAGGCTCTCAGGACATGGCGATTGACAAGCTTCTTCATCCAATGTGACTGGATGTAGTGGGGTTAGCCTTTACTGTGCGAGACTGGATCTATCAACCCGGTGGCAGTGTAAAGTGAAATCTCAGGCAAAAGCTGTGGCGAGACTTGGTACCGCTCATCTGGAAACCTCAAATGCAACATGAATGGCTTCTATTCAACAAGACTCAGAACCTATGCTCGATTCGGTATTGGACATCCCTCCCCCATTACTACTTTGATTCAGAATGCTTTAACTTCCATGATCTTCCATGCACATCTACACGACATCACTTGGTCATTGCGAAACAAAACGAGGACTGCTGGGAGCTATGGCAGCCAGCTTGAGCTTGGTATGGTTGTACTTTCGGTGAACTAGACGGGCTGTCAAAAGAGGCACCACATGAGAACATGTCATGCCAGATTCACATGAGAACATACCTGACCAGCCTGGTTTACGTGTCGTTTTCAAGCCTTGATAAAAGGCTATAATCCGTGGAATTTGACAAGCTTGAGGGCAGGACTGCGTAGGATTGAACACAGGAGCTGAGGGATTAAACCTCGGTTGATAGGCTGACGAGAAGAAGAATGCCATAGAATGACTTTGTAATCTGAACTTCTGGTGGACGTCTTTTTGTATGGACATGCTGACGTCAGTGGGAAAAGAACACAAACTTATTGAAACTAAACTTTAGGACCTCTGAGGCCTCTGCTCAAAAAATGTGTCTTGCTCAATCCCTTGTGTTGCAGCCACCATTTTCAAAGATCAGCGGATCCGCCTCAGCGTTCAGGGCAAAGCCGCGGAGCTGCTCAGCACAAAGAACGGACAAATCTCGGCCTTCAGCTTGCCATTCAAGTGCACTTGAGCCAAATGTGTGCAGCCATATCGGTCGATTGTGTCGCACTTCTGCTTATAAAAATCATCTTAAATCACTTAAATCATCTTAAATCTATATATTTGGCGCTTCCACATTGACACAGGAATCTAAACATCTGTCTGGTCGGCTTTGCTCCAGCGCCAGCCTAGCCTACAGTAGCTCTCAAGATCCGTCCGCATCTGAACACGAGCGACCGGGCTGCCTTCCCTTTTGACTCCTTGCAGTCTCTGCGACCCATCTTTAGGAAGTCTCTGCGAAAAGTGACCGCCAGGGCTTTGGACTGGCCTTCTCTAAGGTCACCTGAGAAGCGAGAGCAAACATCTCAAACAAGTGCGGCAAAACACCAAGGATTATGCTCAAAAAACACACTCAGGACACGGCCACTACGTGGCCCTTGCTCAGTGTCCATGTGCAACCTGAGCCAAATTAAACCAATAGTTTTTTAAATATATGTTTCAGGTGCCTCTCAATTTGACTCTGCCAACAGCCTTCTGGACAACATGGTGAAGCGAGCGCTCCCTCCACCAACATCTTTCCCGAATGCAAGACCTCACCGGATGCGCAAGTTCACTCAGTGCCCTGGAGTCGTGACGGCTGACGGTCACTGCTCACTACGTCTATCTCTTTCGCCGAAGTGCACTGGTGTTTCTAAAAGAAGCCGAGCCCAAGCCTTGAGGGACTTGCTCTGAAACTGCACCTGGGTGCCCCAATCTACAGTCTCACCAATGTCTCACCACATAATAGGCAGTCTTGCCAATTCACACAATCTGGCGCCTTGACATCCGCTTTTGCTGTGTTGTCAGGCACGATCACAGAGACTTCAACTTCCTCAGTGTCCTCGATGCCAAAAAACATCTTTCGCAGCAGCACTAGAAGAGATGAGGAACTTTGCCTGCCGCCACTTGTAGGTGTCTGTAGAGCCACCTTGCTGAGGTGGCCTGGAACATGCCGAATTCGGCAACTGTTCGCCAACGGCTGATGAAAAAGATCTACGCTCATCTATGGTAACTATGGTACATGCTCTAGCTTCCCTTGGCAGAGCAATTAAAGCTTTGGGCCTCACATCGCATGATTCACTGAGGATCATGCGGAGGTCCTGGAGGTGGTGGAAAAGATCCAGGTGCTCCAGGAGGTCTCGGCATACCCCCAGCAGCCGCAACTGCCTGTTGACGACGGCGCACTTGACACTTGCAGCCCAAGCAACCCAAGGACCCAAGCCCCTTTTTTCGGCTTAGCAATTGGTTTGTTTGCAAGTACTAGTAACTAGTAGTTCCAGCCTTTGCTGCTGCAGCTAGCGCATTCGAACCTCTGCTTGCACAGGTCATGGCTTCATCCAAACAGATTCAACCAGCAAAAGCAGACTTGGAATCAAGTGCTGACATTGTGCAGACTTTGCAGGTGGGGCTACTATAGGGCCGTATATAGGCCATAGGAAGTCAGGCCTCCTGATGCATTGTCTGGTGGTTCTGGAAACTTGTCCCAAATCTTGTCACCATATCTCACAACCAGCTGCATTGCCTGGCGATGGTTTCTGCCAGCGGAAACGAAGAAAAACAGTGTGCGACTGGCGCAGCGGCAGCCGCTGGCGGCCTCAGACACAATGCCTTGCGGGTCATGAGAAGGCTCAATCGCCAAAGCCTCATCTTTCGAGAGAAGGCGTTTCAAAACTGAAAGAAGGAATTCACGTGGTTCCACAATCAGATTTCACAATGCTAGATTCAGGGAGATTCAGCAGTTCAGGCCTCATTTTTGACTGCTTCTATTTCCTGAGACAGCTCTCGCTCTGCTGCCAGCACCTCACAAAAATAGGGTAAATAAGTTAGCCTGGCTGCACACTTCTGCTTACAGCGACTTGACGACGTCCATGTAATAAGAGTTACAATATGTTACAATATCCAAGGATGCGGCAGAGTTCCAAAACTTCGAAGTAATGATGCCCTTGGAAAAGAGCTTCCAATAGCCACGCGCCTCGCAAGATTGCTGAACAAATGGTTCATTTCGTACTGCACATGATGCTTTGGCATGCTTTGGCGTGCTTTTTGCACTGTGGGCGGCGCATCTGCATCAATTTTTTGCAGCAAAGACATATCTCCAATGGCTCGTTGCATCAGCCTGTACCTTCTCCAAAAGCACGTTTATTGCATTTATCTAGCTAGCATGTTAACTTGCTGCCCTCTTCTCTACATCTGCAAATGTTTCTGCATATTTTTGGCCCGGGGCACTTGAGCATGTCTTTAGCATGAGCAGGCAATTTGCAAACCCACAAGTCGCCCACAGCATCCTGCCAGTCAGAACTGTGAGGAGGCGCTCAACAACACCTCACTCCGGTTGCCCTACCCTACATGTGCCTTGGCGAACTCATCGCGCATCTTTTCCTTTAGCTGTAGGTATGCCTCAATGGGCAGCAAAAACCATCAAACAATGAAAGACTTTGGGACAGGTCGGTCTCGCCGTCTCGCCTGAATCTTGTCACCAGGCAACGCACCTCTTGGGTAGGTTGGTCTCACCTCGGGTGTATGGACAAAGTACAAGTTGACATTTCATTGTCTCTGCACCAGGAGACAGACCCCCAATTCTTCTAAAGGATCTTGCTGCCTGTTGCAAGTACACCATGCAAAGCTCTATATAACTCGACATGAACGTGAATAACTTTCTATGGCGATGCATCTCTGCCAAATGCCTCGTTATCCAAAAGCTCACCACAGAAGAAGCAACCAGGCTTATGGCAATGACGATGCCGACCACAACCCTAAATCTGCTCATTTGGCACAGTCTCTGTTCGTTGGCAATGACTTCACTCCAATCTGTTTATATACAGCCACTAGGGGTGCAACACCCACAAGGCCATAGCAGAATGCCCTGGCACAGTGCAAAGAGTGACCGTGCAAAATCATGCAATCCAAATGCCCAGGGCATCCAAACCTCGCCCTATCACAGCACTTCGATCAGAACCATGGCTTGCTGGAGCTCACAATCATGACAAGTCCCAAACCTTTTACGTTGAAGTGGACTTTTGTCTTGACGCATTGAACCTCTTGCTTTGGCTTGGGAGATGTTGTTGGTCTGGACAGCGGGTGAAAGTTCTCGGTGTGCCAATGGCAAGCCCTCTGTCTTCCTTGAATGGTTTGTGCATGTCTCATTTCGGTGATAGGTGTGAGGACATGTGAGGACCATCATCCAAAGCCCGCTTGAGGTAAAAAGCTGCAGAGAGTCGACGACCATATACCGTCGGGAAGTGCGCTCCCGCCGCGGGGCAGGTTGGACCAAGAATCGAGGAAGAAACAGGTCTTTGCAAAGCTAGAGAATCTTGGAGCGCTTTTCGGTCGAGCATCATGCGCTTCACCTGGGCTTCACCCATCATCAACATCGTCTCGCGCCTTGGCCTTCAATCCAAGACTCCTCAGGGTGCAAAGTATCCCACCAACTCAGAAGAACATTGGAAACCAATCCTGAAAGGAGTCAGTATTAGATCATTGCATACCTTGCTACAATAGTCTTCCCTCACGGGCCTGGCCCTCTGAATGGTCTTTTCTGTCGCCTCAATAGGTCAATGATTGGTCTTACAAAGCATTACAAAGCTGATGCGTTCAAACAAATGCCGATCTAGCCTGCGCTATGGCCGCCTGACAGGCTGCCTTCAAAAGCTGATGCGTTACTGGCGCTGCTTCTGCTCAAAGCATTATGGTATGCTGCAAAACAATGCGGCAACTGTATATATATATATATGTGATTATATGTGTGCGTTCAATTGCGTTCAAGGTACCCCTTATCTATGCCATCTATGCTTTAAGATTCTGTTGCACCTACTTAGCTTCTGAGCGACCTCAGGCAAAGCCTTCAGGGAGAACATGTCAGACAAGCGAATCAACTGTTAAGTCAGCGAATCAAAGGAACGACGCGCGACTCGCTTTCCTTTTGGTATCGTTGGTTGTTGGGGGTTGCGACTCGCGGCTTCCTTCTTTCGGCTCCCCTGATTCCCGATGACTGCTGGAGCTTGTGGTGTTGACTGGAGCGACAGATTGCAAATCGAACGATGACCGTTTTTCCCCGAGAGTGGTCTTCCCATCTTGTGGTCTTCTGCTTCATCAAATGCTATCCTGGAATCAGAGATCCTTTTTGGGATGCCACTCCGATATGAAGCCTTCATTCACCTTCCCCTCGCTAGTTGTGGGTCGGCCGTGTTGTTGTAGAAATTGGCAAATGGTTCTTCCTGGATGACTGGACACGAGCCAAACTACCTTGTTCCTCAAGCAATAGACCGTGGAGACTTCAGGAGGAAAAAGTTCTTCCACGTCTTATACAGTAACATCTATGTGGATCAGCCGCGGTCGAATTAAGAAGTCCATTTTGCGTGGAGAGTGCGGGACGGTCAATTATCACCCTCTTTTAAAATATAACATCATATAACAATTCAACAGCTTTGGAGGGAGGAAATTCGAGTGTGCGAGGCGACATACAGTGAGCGTCTTGCAGGATTCTATGGGGAACGGGTTCTCAATTTGGAACCTTCAAGAACAACATTTTGTCCTATTGGTGTATCGACATAAATGGTCATAGTAGCTGCTCGACTTTAGCCTCCTCCTGTGAAGACTTTATATACACTTATGTGGAGCCCTTTGGACTTTGGATCCTTTTTGCTTTAGTTGCTCTCTTGATCGATCTTGGCTTCTAACATCTAACAGTTTCCGGCCATCCTCCGAAACAGCCGCTTGGCCTAAGAGCTAAAGATTTCTCACCAAAGCCGACTTGCATTGCTGGTCCTGCGGTCTCACGTTCTTGTCGACAGCACGCTCCCAACACTTCCGCTGACAGTACGCTCCTTTGACAATCGTGTCAGGGTAGAGGTGGGGTGGCATGCATTGATTTTTCAGCTTCTGATTCTGCTTGCTACACGGTTTTTAGTCTCTGATGTGTCCGTTTCCATCTATGCTGTGCAAACTGACCGAATGCTTAGGCAGGGTTTATGTTTTGTTCTCTCTTACTGAACACCATGAAGTGTGCAGCGCAGCAGCTACATAGGGGCAAATGTCTGAATATATGTAAGTTTGGACAAAGAAGATTTTTAGGAATTTATGAGAACTTCACACAATCTGCAAGAGGCAGGTAACAGGGGAATGGCATGGAATGGCACATAGATGATCTGATATTGTGATGTAGCGTCTGAACTTGGCAGCACAATACTACAATAATGATTCCCTTTGTGTAGAGTTCTTGCCTGGCCTGAAGCTGCTGAAGCTGGGAAAGCAAGATGCCAAGATCATCGAGACCCTTGGCAACTACCTCAACCAGTCTCATTCTTTGAAAGCATGTGAACTCTACTTCATGCTTTGATGGCGGATGTCACCAAAATTGGTTTGCTGTCAGAGCCAACCTCGCCACTCTTCGCTTCAATCTCTGCCGAAAGCATGTTGTTTGCCCGCCGAAGACCTTTAAAGAAACAAGTCATACTGAACAGAGTTGTTTTAAGCACCATCAGCATATACATTTGATTCCCAAGGTCTGTACTGACAGCACTTGCTCGCTTCCATGGCTGCCTATGTGCCTAAACAATGCCAACGCCAACTCTCTTTGGAAGACTACGGCAACTTTTCGCAGAAACAACGCACCGTGCACATCAGTGTGCACCAAGATTCAAACATCCTTTTAGATTGGACAGAAACCAAGGATCCGCACCTGACCAGTCTTGTGCTCATCGCTCTTGTGACCTGAACAAACCGGAGTGGTGAAAAACACACAACGCATTACACAGATTTACACAGTGCCGGGTTCGAAACTCTCCGGTGTGGAACCTTGACGGCGACAACGGTTTCCCAAAATAGCACAAGTTGTTTAGCTTGGACTGGCCTTCAAAATTCAAAAAGAAAAAGGTCACTGCCAAATGAAGCTTGCTAAGGACTTCGCTTGTAGAAGGAGGTGTTTCTTGCACTACCTCACCTGACACGAAAGGTGAGATGCTGTGCCGAGATGAATGGGTCGCCTGTCCCCGCATTTCAATCGCCTTTTTCAAGCTTTTTCCTCGCCTGATTTGGCCGTGTCTGCCTCTTTGGACTCGGGAGGAGGTGGAGTGTCATCTCGAACCTCCTAAGTTCGGCCGCATCGAAGATCAACCATAGCAGGCATAACTACCACTGCTCGACACTGTTTGAGGTATCCACTTCTTGTCTACTTGCGGGTGCCTCCAAAACACACAAATGTCTGTATTGAACAAGGCAAGGCCGGCAATTCTGAGGCCTGAGGAATCACATTTTCTATGGAAGGAGGGACCATGGCAGGTCTGTCCGCAAATTGAGGCACCTCGAAGCCCGTTCAGCCACCGTAAAGTGTCTGTTGACTACAAGGAAAGCGAGAAAGAAACAATAATCATGAAAAGTATCAAGGGTCTAGAGTCTAGAGTCTATATACTATATACAGGTCTAAAGACAAACACAAAAAGAAACCATGGAAAACGCACACACAGATTTGATTTTAGTGCCGAACGACAGGTGGGGGAGGCCATTGAGCGTATTGGTCCCGTATCTGGACCTCAGCAGGCAGGATGAGCTTAGATTAGATGGCGCTTGGAAAATGCAATGAGTTGAGCCCCCTGCCCTATTTAAAACGGCTACCACACCAGCAGCAGCACCGATGCCTGCACTACAGCAAACTCCCGTCTGTTTTGCACATGTTGCCTTAGCTTCACAATAATTTTGACTTGGTCTTTTTGAGTCTATCTTTTATCCTTTTCTCACAGCACGGTTCTCTTGTACCAACTCATAGTCCTGCAGCACCAACTCCTGCAGCAGCAACCTAAAGGTGGGGAAGTGCATCAAATCATCAACTCAAATGGATTTCAATGAATTCTTCGAAACAAATAGAGGTTCCTGAAAGGTTTTTGCAAAACCTGTGAGGCCATCCCCTTCGGCCTTTTGGCCCAAACTTTTGGCCGACAGCTTTAAGCTGTCCGAACATGCCCCTGCGGAAACCAGCGTCTTTTTCGCCCAAATCCAAGTCATGCAGTCATCTTTCGTCGTGCAGTCATGCCAGCTCAGTCGCGCAGCCGGGGGACCCGCGCCATGCAGCGACTCTCACGTCCCTGTCACGTCACCCCTGAGGCTCCTGACATCGGGATTCGCTGTGGCCAGCGCCGCTCCGGCAAAGGCTCCGCTTGCAAGGCCCAGTGCCGCTCCTGAGGCGGCACCACCGGCTGCTCCTGCCTCGGGGAACAAAACGAACACCGTCACAATGGGAAAGTGGCGAAGAACCAAAAGCAGAAATATGGAGAAATGTTCTGCTCCGAGAAACCTTTAAAAACACAGAACATTCCCAAGCATGCCCACCTGAGGATCCTATGACCCCTCAAGTTGTCATCGAAAAGAAACACATATTTATACGCAGCTTCTTTTCTTCTGCCTGCTTCACAGAATAGTGGCAGAAAGTAAGCAAAAACCACTGGACCTGAACCCGACCTGTTCCTTCACCTTAAGGCCGATGCCTTTAGTCATGGTGGCCAGGTGGCTGGTGGTGCATTGTGGTGGGCTCGATGACTCGATGGCTGAGAAGTATGATGAGACGAAGGTGATCGAAGGTGTTGAGGTCAAAGGATTTTGGTGAGGACGTCCACTCGACTAGTGCAACCAGAGATGGTCCGTTGTAGTTGATGAATTGCAGGAAGGTCCTCCTTTTCGTTTATGGTTGGCCCACTGGCAAGCTGCGCAAACAATCGCAACGATGCAAGAGCAACAGTGTCTTGAGCAGGACTGCTGAAGCAATTTTGCACAGGTAGAAGTTGCTGAGCGATTTGTATTCGCCCTTGAAATTGCTGGAGCAGGAGACAAGTTTCAACCACCACAGGGTCTTGACCACAGACCCTCCTTGAAGCCCGCGAGCAAAAAGGACAAGCACAAAGTTCGCACAGAGATGCACAAAGCAGCTTCTAATCACTAAGTTTCCCGCAAGGCCATTGGTCCCAGCACCACCCAACGCTGCGCCACTGCCAGCACCCGCTGCAGCCCCGGTGACAGCACCAACGAGGGCACCAGCGATGATGTCCTGAAGGCACAGCACCGAGACCTGGAACTGGCCGGGGAAAACGGCCAAAGCGGACTCAGCGGATGGAGGCCATCGCTAGTAGGTTGGAGGCCATGATTGTGATTGCTTCTATATTCTATCTATATAGTTGTTTTGATTGAACGCACACACACACACACACATCTTGTCCTCCACCACGGGGGGCGTGCGAATGTTCCGCCGTCTCTCTGGAAGTGCGCCTCGCATGACAGATTGCTGAAAGGGATCGTCGATACACATATCGAAGAACACGATCTCTTGAACTGAAACAGCTTTGCTATTTATCACAGCTATCACAGCCTTCTCTAGCCGACGAAGATGTCGCGGTCCCTGCCACAGCATGCTGATTGACCCCAAACAGAAACGTGGCAAACTGTGGACATGACTAAGTACATGTGCATGTATATAATGATATATAATGTATGTTTTGCATTGCTACCTGTTACGTGCGTTCGCAGTATTACCTGACCTGTTTGTGAACTCGTGGTCTTTAACGCGCTTTAAAGTCGTCTGACTGGAAGTTCCACAAAACATAAGAAAATAAGATATTCTTTGCATCAATCAGCTCCTGATCAGCTCAAGGGATCTCAGCTAGTGGTTCTGGGCCTAAAGGCTGTCCTTGCGGTACAGTCTTGGCCTTCTTGAGATTGACGTGTACCAGTGATCATGTGTATCTAACCAAATCTAAACTCACAGTCCAAAGCCTTCTCATTTCAATTGCGGGTCATTTCCGTCCGCTTATTCTCTTGCTAATCTGGTAAAGAAACTGTTGGCGATCGCTCGACGTCCCAAGCAACCAAACGTGAAAAAAACCCTTCTTGTGAATCGTTCAATTCAAGACTCAAGAGTTTCCAAACAATCTCTTAGATGAGTTGAAGTTTGTTAAACGCCAAGTATATCACGTCCAGCAGGAAGATATCGGGAAAGGACAGCCTTGCAATCTATATATATAGAAGGATCTAATATGCCAAAACATCTGGCAGGGAAAACACATGCCTTTGGGTAGAATTGTTTCACATGCATATACCAAGTGTTCATACAGTGATACAGCAACACTCCACACAGATGTTCAATTGTTCGCCTGGTGATCTCACCGGTCGATCATCCTTGCAACGCGCAGCAACAAAAGGTACCCCCCACAAAAACTAGATGATACTGAAGGTGAACCACGCTCAGGTGGTCATCAAAATTAAACATACTAAACCCCGACCGGCAAATGAGCTTGGCTTGATGCTTTGGGAGTCTGCCATAGCTATATACTAGTTCCACCTTCTGAGGGTCACCTCGTGCTTCTTTGCTCCTCTTTTGCGGTTTACCAACCTTCACTCTGAATACTGCATGCCTCTGATGTTTTTTCGGCCTCGATGTCGAACTCATCTCTGGCACCAAGCACTTGCCTCCTGTTGCAGTTGGGTTGCTTAAGGAGCTAGACCGGAGAGTCAAACACTGCACAAAGGGAAGACAAAATTCATACGGGTGCTGAGGAACCTGTGAATGTTCGCCCAAGACTTTGCTTCGTACCCCCTCGCAAGCTACGTTCTTGTCAATACGTTTGGTGCCGTTAGGATTCCTTGGATTGTCAGTTGCACCAACCGCACACGGCATGGCCTGAATGAGTCATCTGCAATCATCAATGGACCCTCCTCTCTTGTATGTTACTTATCATTGCATGGCTATGATACTTGTACACAGATGCCGCACATGTGCTCATTGATCATTTGATGTTCAATATTGACTTCATGCCAACAGCCCTAAAGTGCCTTTTTGTAGGGACCTGGACTTGGGCGATTTCCATGGCAGCTGAAGCAAACTGCCAGCACCTCAGATCTGGACGGTCTTTCTTAGCTAATGGAAGAACCCCTGCAGGGCGCGCACACATAGCATAGAGTATCTTAGCCGTTGTTGTCTCAAGGTTGCATTTGTGAACCTGGAGACATTCGCAACGCGCTCCAAAATATTCACATCAGCTTTGGACTCCTCTGATTTCAACTGAAGTTTCTGAGAAAAGCCCGAAGAAAATGAACAATGTGATGCGCAAAATATGCCAGGAATTGGTAACAAGAAAAGCAGGTCCTCATGGACTTCATGCTTGAGGGCAACAGGCCCGCCATTTCGCGATGCCAGCGCCACAACAAACATTCTATGTACAAGGGGTGCGTGCCAATGACTTTATGTATATAATAATATACATTTGTGAAATATCAACGAGCAGTATCCCGCATCTGTGTCAAAACAAATGTTGACTCAATCCTTCAGCTAAGACCCTTGTTCTTCGCAGTTCCACAACTCTCGTCGAGTGCCTGCTACTCGTTCAGGTATGTCATGGTGCATAGTACAAACCTGATTTTATTCGGGTCGCTAGCCTTGTCAGCCTTGTCTGTCTGCCTGCTTCATGACGTGCACGTCCCATGAGGATAAAAGCTGGAAGAATCAAAGTACATCTATTCCATTATATTCCACTGGACTCGGCAAACTGGATGGCCCCACGGACAAGAAGCTCTTAGAATCCTTTAGATACAAATCCACCGAACTTGTACGGCCGATTTTGAGTCTCTTCTCGCTACTGCTTCTGCGATGGCAGCGATCGGCTGGCCAAAGCAACGATGCCCACCAAGACCTGCGTCGCGTCGTCTCGACGGCGGAGAGCTGCCCGTTTCCAGGCAAACGGAGTTGATGCTACGGACGTACATACCAGTACCAGCATATTATACTAACCCTGCCAAGATGCAACTACACCACAGCCAAACCATCCAGCAAGGGTAAGAGACCTCAGCAGTTCAAGGTAATATTCATAACATGATGCCTTCATTCCGAGGTAGGATATCCAGTATCCGTATTACGGTACAGTGGTTCAAAACGCGTACCATGTTGCTTTTGTCACTTGAATGTTTAGTGTACATATATTATATACATATATATATATATATAAAAGAACACAGCAGCCGCCCCTTTTTCCCACAATCTTGAGCCAAACATGTCCGGTGAAGTGAAACGTCAATGACTGGATCATGTGAAGGCTACATTCATCAAGATTCCTATGACTTGCATGTCATGTGAAACTAAATTCTTTACAGTGCTTGGTGACACATCGAATGCGAATCTTGCCTGCAAAGATGCTCTTTGGTTGTTCAAGGACTGCTTCATGGACTGCTTCCTCTGGCGTGCCAGATGCATCGACCAGGGTGCATTGCTAGTGGATTATGGGTGGTGGTTTCACCCCATGTCTCTCTCCTCCCCCTTCACACATTAACAGCTTTAGTGGAAGATGGGTGCTTCGAGAGATTTGGATCCACGACGCCCAAAAGCTCCAAGGCGTGACTCCATTTGGAAACCGGCAACGGTTTCGTGAAGGGATCAGCCTTTTGATGGTCCGTTTTTATCTAAAGTAATTTGGCACTGCCATTCGAGAACGTTTCGTTTAGAGAAGAGAGGTTGATACGATGGTGCTTCGAAACATGTCGGAGTTTAGGGCTGTAGCCCTGGCCGCATATGGTTATGACGGCGCTGTTATCCTGGAAACACACTAATTCAATTTCTCTTCTGAACACTTCCTCAACGAATTCGGCAACTGGCAAGGCGTCAAATACACCGTGGGCAAGTGATATGATCTCGGCCTCTGTGGTCGACCGTGCAGTGGCACCCTGTCTCTTACTGTGCCACGGCAGTGGCCAGTAAGACGCCGGTCCTTGCAGACACAGCAAACCATGAGAGGTGCTCTTTGCATCCTCTACCGCGCTTGAGTGGTCCGCATCGGTATACAAGACCAGTTGTAGGTCTTCCTGACGGTCTGCGATTTTGCCTTTTAGGCAGAACGCCTTGGTCTCGTACAGATAGTTCATCAATCTGCGCAAGCGGCGGTCATCGGCGCGACTCCACTTCGTGACACGGCGGGTGAGATCCCCTATTGCCTTTACCGTGTCTGGCCTGGCAAGTCTGCCCGCCCAAAGGACTTTCATCAAGACCTTACTCGCGTCACTTGCTAACGCAGCGCGCTCCTCCCATTCATTCACTGGAATGGAACCTTCTGGCAAGTACGGAGATGCAGCGCCTTTCAATGGCATCCCTGACAGGTTTTCATACATTTGGCATGCTGAGTTGATGAAATCTACCATGTCGAAATAAACCTCAGTCACTCCGTTTTCACGTTTGAACAAATGCTTTCTGCCAAGACAACGATCCACTGGGGTCGGTTCTTCTATTTCGAGGTGTTTTTGCAGGTTTTCCCAGAACCCTTTGCGCAAACCTGATGGCCCTGAAAGCAAAATGTCATCGACGTACAACGTGAGGACTAGACCATTTTCAAAGGTCCAATTCGACTGGTTGTCTCTATCAGCTTTCCCTCCCATGAGTCCCATCACTTCACGGAATCTTGCATCCCAGTGGAAACCCGATTCCGGGTGTCCGTACAGCGCCTTCTTCAAGGGCGCTACTGGCATTTTGATGTGGGCGAACTCTTTTGGTACTAGCTCCGGGGGGAGTAGCACCCATGTGTCCACCACAGTTCGCAAGACACTTTGAGTGTATGCACGCACCACGTCCGACTGTGAACTGTCATTCCCGGGAAGTGCACCGTAGCTCAAGTTGAAATTGATGGCTGTGATTCCCGAGGGATTCACTTTGAGTTCCTGCAGGATGGCGATGTTGTCGTCTTGGTCAACTATCTGATCTCCGCGGAACACTATTCTGGCCTTCAACTTTCGCAATTCTGGACTTTCAGCGTGCTTCATGGACAGGATTGTCATGAGACGACCTAGGTTGAATTTGCCACCCGACTTCATCAATTCTTCTTTGGAAATGATTTTGCTAACATCCCAAACTTCATTTGCTAGAAGACCATCCAACTCTTTCTTGATAGCTTGGTCAGCCCCCGGGTAGTTTCCCCAATCTCGACGATCAATCAATTGATGAACACCTAAGGGAATTTGATGCGGGACATGTTCTGACTGAACAAACGGACAAGTCGGCATGATTGGGACGGAATCACCGTCAGGGTACAAGCTGTTCGAGATTGTTTGCGCCATCCTTTCAGTGTAGAAGGCTGACTTCCCTGTGCTTGAACCCTCCGAAGGACTGTGCTTGAAGTCTTTTGGGTGTTGGCATCGGTATGCACCAAGGTCTTTTGCCAACTTTCTTGATGAGGTTACGACTCTCCATGTCTTCAGATGTGGTTCTCCTTTACTGTCTTTCAAATCAAAGGCACAGCCGTCACAGCATGTCTCATACAAATCATGTTTCTTGACAAACTGCAAAAGCTCGGTCAACATCCAACCTTCACAATGTTTGGGCCATTCGAAAGCAACATGTCCTCCATTTTGGAGAACTCTCTCTGCAACCTTTATGTAGTTCGCTAAGAGTTTCTTGCTTGTCTTTCTTTTGGCTTTCAATTTCTTTGCGTTGGTTGAACCATATCGACGCAGACACATTTTCTGCCAGGGACTCCATGAACTACATGGAATGCTTCCCCAAAGGTCAGCCCCCTTGAACATGTCTACCAACGACAAAAGGCTTTTGATGTCTTCTTCATTTTCCAAGTTGGTTTGTTCCCGATGCAACCTAAAATGTGGGACCCCCCTTGATTCGTTAATATCTCCTAGTTTCGAGTCTTTGCTGCAGCAGAATTCAAACATTGCGTGGCTTTTGCCGGACCTAATCCTCCTTTCACGGGGCGGTTTCAATGTCTGAACGTTTTTGACTTCTGCAGGGACCGGAGTCAAACCAAGGATCGACGTGACAGCATCAAGTCCTCGAGCAGGTTCCTTCTCGATATATGCTAGTCATGGTCATGATTCTTGCTTTCACATTCTCAGGCTTCTCCTTTGGGAAGAAGTATGTGCATCCTACCCAACTTCTTGAACAAATGCGCCTATTCGGTGACATGGATTGCCAATCATCTGCAAACAGTGAAGTCTTGTTTCTACAAGTCCAAACAGTTTGACGTTCTGTTGTCACTTCGAACGAATCGAAAGGACAGTCATTTCCAAGCGGTGTGAACAAACGCTTCCTCGGACGGACATGGATTCTCTTCCATGCAGCTTTGGCCTCATCAAAGTCCCAATAGTCATTTAATGCCTCAGCATTACAGCAATCCACGTGAGAAGCCTGTAGCTTGCTCTCGCGACCTTCAAGCAGGACAATGGGATTTTCCTTGACTTTTTGGCGGCTAAATTTGTCCTTCAAGGTGTGCATCGAAATGTCCACAGCGGCTTCCGATTTCTCTTTGTCTTTCTTTGAATCTGACTCTTTGGCTAGTCTCTCGTCCTCCAAGAGCTTGCCAATCCTTGCGTGGCATTCATCACTGTGCCTCACGCCTTCTGCAATTCTGTCGCAACCTTTGCAACCTACAGTCTTTCCGAACCTGATGCATCTCTCCAATGTTACAAAAGGTCTGCGTTTACGTTTGGCTGGCTCGGGAGGATCTTCTCCAAAGGGCAACGACTCTCTGGGATCAATGCTCAGCAACTCCCGATCTGCTTTAAACAATGCCAGCTGCGAATTTGCAGCTTCTTCCAAAGGAAAGATGAACACTTCTGGTTTCACAAGCTCACTAGTATACACTTGGATTGGTTTCTCACAACCTTTCTTGTTGGTGCGAACAGCTTCATAATCCAAAACCAAATGCACACCTCTGAACTTATACCCGTTGTCGATTCGCCATCCACAGAAGATTCCAGGAAAAGTCCTTGGGTCAAAGGCAGGAAGTTCTCTACGCTTGGGTGGTTTGTACCAAACTAATGCACCAAAAGGAATCCGGTACCCATCAAAAACATTACCTGAAGCAACTTCATAACAGGTCTTCCCTTCCTTCAACGCTTTGGACTCAGGAGTCTCATTCGGATGCACAGGACATGGATGTGTGATTGCATGTGCTACAACAAAATACTCTATGCTCCTCGGCCAGAAGGCGTGCGGCAAACCTGACTTGAGATGGATCGCACGTGTGCCTTCTTTGATCCTTCGGATCAAGCTTTCCAACTTTGCATTGTGATACGGGTCATTCCCAATCCCTGGTTCACTCAACCAGCCCAAGCGCTCAACGGCTTTGGTCAATTCTTGAGCACAGTCAGTTTTCACAAGGCAAGAAGACCTAGGGGAAGCTCTGGTTCCAGCAAATTTCTGAAGGCGCAGGATGTTTGAGTCAGTGTCTCTAGAGGTCATGGA